GAAATTGATCTTTGTTTTGCTTCAATAAATTGCAATCTCATTTTGGACTAACCGTAATCAATATGAAATTTACATAAGCGTCAAAACACATCTAGCTCGCTGAGGAAGGAATCAGGTGCAGTTTTAATTTGTAACGCGGATTAAAATACCGAAAATTGTTAGATTTAGAGTATTAACCATAAATGCTTTAAGTCTTTATGAAAAATATATCAATAAATTGATATTTTTGGATGCCTCATTTGCATATTTTAACGGCTAGTTACTGAAAAACACGAAAACTACGCGCCTGCTGTACAGAATATAGCTCAAAAGCGCAAAATGTTTTTATTGGTTCTTGTTAACCAACCTTAGGTTAGTAGAATTCATTAAAAAGTTTAAGCAAACTGTGTTGGACTTGGCAGATAAAAGCTACTTTGTAAAGTATACTTCGCCGTGATTTCAAAAAGCCGAATAATGGGGTTCGCTTCGTATAGTGTATTATTTTTCCCTTATATTTGATATTCAAACTTTTGCTACTATTTAGTGCACAGATACATCTAAAAGAATGGCTAAAAATATTTAGGGCCTGCGTTCTATATTTTGTGAGTTATGCTGTTCTGAAAATGTTCGATTTCCTATCGTGAAAAAATGAAAATTTAGCGAAGACGGTGGACCTGTAAAAATAGGCTGAAAAAAAAAATTAATTTAACGAATTTTGAAAAACAGAGTCGATTTTCATTACTTACTATGATTTTCCTCTTTTCCTCTTTAATTCATCCTTTTTTTAAAAAACCTCATTTTTTTGTACTTCGCATTCTTCTTGGCTGTTCATGGTATCAGTTTATTGCTTCTTTATCTCCTGATTCACCCCATCTCCTGATGTTTGTCAAACAAAGTCCTCATTTGGACCTTCCAGGAGATTATTTTTTCCGTATAAATCTTTGACGAGGCCTTATTACTGATAACGAAGTACAATTATGCTCAAAACAATATCTAAAGTAAAATAGTGCTAATTGTTTACAATTTTCCATATTTTGTTTACAGGCAATTTTCTTGATTGGCGCAGCAGTCACTGAAGTGAATGGTAAATACATTGAAGATGACTTTTTTGGAATTTAAAATATACTGGAATTTATTATTATCTTATATTGGGGGTTATTTGCGAATCTTTGTTTTTAAGTCAGTTTATTATTAGATATTAGCAAAATTTTACTTATTTCCTGTAATTGTAGAAAAATGAATTACACAGTATTGTATATAGTGAAAACGTAGAATAGAAGCTTGACAGGTGAGATTTTGCTTCATACCGGGAGTCATCAACTGTGCTAGAAATTATAGCATAAGATAAAAACAATAACATCATTGACTGCTAGATTTTTCTAAGTAAAAGAAATTGTTGTTCTGAAATTTATAAAGACAGTATTTATAGCTACTAATTTTAGCAACTTTGTCAATTGTCATCGATAGAAAGTGGACCTTTGATTTAAATTGGAGTTTAACTGAAATCCAAAATTAATGTATACGAAAAGGATAAATATTCATTTTTTCCTTCRATTAACTCGTGGGAAGATGTATCCCGATGCAAACTGTACCTGATTTGCGCGATGGCGTCACATTTATACTACCAAGACCAGAATGCTTTGCCTACCATTTGTTATGTTATCACTAAAAACAGAATATTTATCGTATTTTCGTATTTGTCAATATATTTATTAGTGGTACGGAATGTACACGGGGAGGTATTGACGCGTGTCAGCACTTAAGTATAAGTGACTAAGTAAACGAAGTTTTGCAATACCCATCCCATGGGTATTTACATATGCAGAGTATTTAAGGTGTGAGTCATGAATGAATTGCCATTCGAAGGCATCTCATCGTTAACACAAATCTTAGGGTTTTTTTTCACTAGTCATAGTTCTTCTCTCATAGTTCTCAGCTCGTCTAGCCTTGGAACACAATGAGTGATAGCTTCTTTGACTGGAGTCGTCAAACAATGCCGTTTATAATTTGTATATGACCACTTGTATAATGCATACTTTTCAGTTGTCAAACAGAACTATCAGGCATGAATAAACGAGATGCCCGCCCCTACTATGTTGTATGGTCTTATTATTTGAATGGAGTTTAGGTAATAAATGTTTTATACTCGTTCATAAGTGAATAGAGTATAATTCGGATTTCTAATCCTTCTGGAGATTAGTRAAACAATTGCCACATTAGAAAGGGAAGTAATCTAAATACTCTGATCTCGGTATTTTGACGTTATCGCGCAAATCGGCTAGTGCAAATTTTCCTGTTTTAGGGTAACGSCCTTTGCAGCACCGTTATGTCCGGTGTTAAATGACGATCATAATGAACGCGTCAGTTTTAAGATTGACAGCTATTTGATATGGTTGATGGTTATAATTTACGATCGAACGCTTTTTATGAGCCTGTTAACTCTTTTTTAAGTTAACCCTATTCAGACTGGGCGAGCGGATACAGAGATGGCGTATATTCTGGAAAAATTGCTTGTTTTAGATTTTTTTATATTAAAAACTCCTTATTTTATAACAAAATGAATATGCAGCCAAATAAAAGTGAGATTTAAAATTGTTTGAGTCAAATTGTTCGAAGATGAAAAAGACACTATAGATTAAAGGCGCTCAATGAGCGCAAATGCCTACTACGATTGTATGATAAATAATGAAATTTGATAAACTCAGTACCTACTATGTAAATCACACGTCAATGTGACGTCACATTTAGTTCCCACGGGTCAAGACTTTGTGTAATGGTTCGTTTTACGCGAACGATCATTGCAAAATTTTCTTTKCTTCCGARGAAACAGAGGGAACAGCCAGATGAGCAGCCYCCTCCTCCAGTCAWAGATTGTYAAGTCAAGTTAAAAATTGAAATTTTGGCAACGTTATTCACTATTTTTTATAGCACTGTTTGTTTTTAAACATAATAAAGGGGAATTGGCTATCATTTTTTTTTACCGATTAAGATATATGTCCTCCATGTTTTGTATTTCAACACTTGCAGGTCTCAACGTTCTTGCACACTGGAGTCTCAATGGATCAGAGACAGGATTAACGTAAGTTAAAACCAGAGACGTAGGAGCTGACGTTGGAAAGGATGGGGGAAAAGTGTCAATATGACGTAATAAATATAATCTTTAAGATGGTTGTTGATAAAAGTCAATAAATGCTTGCCTTTGCATTGAACTGGGGTCCGGGGTCATTTCTTTAGCTTTTGAAGGAAGAAACTAGTACGTTAAAATCTGGGAGATATACCCCTGAAAATTATTGAATCAAAATTTATGCACGAGTCGCGAAGCGACGTTGTTATTAGTTTAGCGATACTGATATGCTAATTAGTGTCGGAATTATGAAAGTCGTTAGTGAAGTGCGGTCTTCGAGTACACTACCTTCAGTATCCAGTATCAACACGTTTTCCGAAATAGCCGTATACAACAACTTTAGAAAATGCTCACTGTGATACTACATGTGCATTCATTCTCTATGCACGGTTACTATTAAACTCAAATTATAGCTCGTTAGAAAATGACCAGTATTACAGCAGAAATYGTTGCATTGCGACCTCTTTGTTTTGAAGTTTGTCTGGATTTTGTTCTTTCTTTCAATCTGACGGGAGGAGCATTTCGAAAACTCRTTCAATCATTGGCTGATCAGTATCAAGCTCCGCCCCCAAGTCGCAGAAAAATCTAAATCCCAACTATTTTCTTTGAACATCGAAGTCGCGATGCAACGCTTTCTGCTGTAAACATTTTMTGAAATACTTGTATATGATGTTTACTCAATCAGGTTGCATGGAGGTCCGACATTTGTCGAAGGTCGTTTACCAGGCACTAAAGCTATTGCCTTTACAAAGATAAACAGCTATGCAAGAATTCCAAGAGTCAGTCTTCAACACAGAAGTTTCACCATCGCAGTATGGATTAAAGTGTACAGTATTCTTTCAAGGCCACAACATTTTGTCAGTGATTGGTACAGTCCTTATAATTTCTATTTTGGAATACTGCAGAATAACGGGAACCTAATTTTCTCTCGCCATACACAGAATGGTGACTGGCCTTCTGTCAAAACCAGTTTTTCTATCACACCAAAAAACTGGCAGCACGTTGCGGTGACATGGAACAGCACAAATTTGGAATACAAGCTCTACTTAAACGGAACAGAAGTGTATTCAAAAATATTGTCGTCGGATAAGACACGTTGGCGGTCTGAAAGATCAACATTCGAACTTGGAGACAGTAAACATTCTCTTGAAAGTCAGTTCCTTGGTGAATTAATGGATCTTTACATAATTGATGGTACAGTGAACACAGAACAAATCAATTTTATTAAAGGTAAGCTCTAGTGGCCCATTAAGCCCATCATACAATGTTCTGCAAATCCTTGATATAGTTGTAAAATGAATGCCAAACCTATAAAAAGAATGGATTATATCAGAAGCATGATCATGTGGCAATAATGATGTTATGATATTGAAACAATGATAGTACTGATTATAGAACATTGATGTAAATAGATAAAAAGTGCATAAGGGAAATGTCACACCAGGCGCTTGATCAGTATTTTGCTCACCGTGAACAGCGAAAAATGGTCCGCAAACACTGCTCAAAGCGACTCGTGTGACATTTCCCTTACGCATTTTCCTTTTGTGTGTGTCGGGCTTACGTCAGTGGTGTGAAAAGGTTATATCTTGACCTCTTTCTCTTCTTCAGACCACGCGCGCGATCGTATCATGAACCTGCCAGAGTAGCAGTCCGGAGTACAATGGACTTGAACCTTAACAAATACCCTGTTCTATGCTACCTAAGCTAGCTGCTGTTAGCTCCATTTGGTGTTAGCTTTTATTTTCTCATTGAATCGTTTTTTATTGTTATTCGTTGGGCTGTATATTTGTAAGTTTTTTTAACTTAATCGTTTCATGGAAATCAAAAACATGGATTGTTTAAATTTTCGTTCCTTTTNAAGAATATATAACACAAGCCTGTTTGTATATGCTTACTGAAAGAAGGACAGCAATTAGAGATACACAGAAACTCCATGGAACAGCCACATCAACAAATAATACAATGATAGGTATGCTTGTACTGAACAGTTCTGTGTGTACGAAAGCTGAATACACCCTTTTAATAAGTCCCGAGGTATTGTGTTCTCCGCACTTGACGTCAAATTTATTCTTTTGAATTCCTTTTGTATTGTAAAAATTTCAAAAAAATAAATTTGACGTCAAGTGCGGAGAACTCAGCGATACCTGTGGACTTATTAAAAGGGTGTATAGTGAAGGCAATTGCAAGTCAACTAACATTTACCGGTCTGTGTATTATTGAGTGAGCTGGTTTTTCGAAACACATTGAATTTCTGTGGTATTGAAGTCAACAAATGCTGTGCCATTAACTGTACCATGTCACTGAATTTTTTATGCTAAACTCCTCTCAAAGACGCTAATTGTATGTAGAAAGTGAGACAATTGTTATCTTTTGCATTGACCTGAGTGGTTGTTGAAATAAAACGTTTAATCTATTATTGTATTATTTATCCAATTTAAGGATAGCGAGTAGATGTTCTACACAAGAATGAGGAATCCCAACAATTCAAWTGCAAGTCTAACAGAAAGCATTGCCTTAGCAGCCAATTMTGAATGTGAYCCACAATTCAAGTTGTGCTACAATGATTTGGAAAAACATGCCAGAATAACTGCCTTTGTACTCCTTATTGTGCTAGGGATTGTAATCAACATCTTTATCATCATAATCGCWGTYAAATACACAGTGCGCAAAAGCCTGCACCACCTGATTATCARCATGGCCGTATCAGATGCTATGTATCTTTTTGTGAAGATATCAATTGAGATACCCGCTCTGGGCAACAATTTGAAGATATACCCTAGTGGTACATTGGGTACTGTAATCTGTAAAATCCAAGCATTTCTGCTCCATGTCACATACAGGGTATCGCTAATCGCTCTTTTGGTAATCAGCGTTGAAAGATTTAGAGCAACCAGAGGAATTCAAAGATTGCGACCATATACAATGAGACAACGTGTGCTAATTCTTGTTATGTGCTGGTTGATTCCTATGCCAATAGCTGCCTACTACACATATTTAGCAACTCCACAAACTGGCTATTGTATTCCTTTGAAGGTGTTCGTGTCAGACAAAGTCGCTTACATAATARAAATAATTTGCRTTTTTGCCAGCTTTCTTTTTTCAATTGTATGCTGTGTAATATTCGTTCTTGGCATCATAACAATAAGACGACTCTCAAAGCCTCAAGTCAACCTGGAAGCCCATCTAACCGAAGAACAACGACACATACGAATACGTCGAACAAGAGCAGCCGTACGAATGGTCCTCTCCTCTGCCGTGCTGTACACATGTTGCATGCTTCCTTTCCTTTTCTTGACAATAGTCAATGACGACGATTGGAGCATCGGCAGTTTTCAATATACCTCATCAGCGGAAAACTCAAGTCACAAGGACAAGGGAAATATGGTGTATACAATATTTCATTTTTTGCCTGTCCTCAATTCCTGTTTTAGTCCGTGCATCTACATCATATTCCTATCTGACTTTCGCGAAGCAGCTAAGAAAGTGCTGTGTAGGAGACAAGTATTAAATCAGGCAGCAAACAGAGAAAACGATGTTGAGTTACAGCAAGTGTCAACGCCCCGAAAAATAAATCCAGCAAGATCTGCTAATCGACCAAAAATCAATTCCGATGAAGGTCAAAAATTATAGAGCACAAGGTTAGAACTGGCATTAACGTACTTTTAAGTAAAAAAAACTTAAGTACTTTTAAGTAAAAAAACGGTTTCTTTTGTGCTATGTGACCGCAAGGGCATACACTCCGAAGACAGATACTGAATCAGGAAGCAAACAAGGATTCTGTTGAAGTGCAAGCCAATAACTTTATATGTATTGTGCACATGCACACATACAGCAGTTCAGGAACCTGGTGAAAGAATTATCGTGAAGAACTAAGAATCTATACTATTTACTGTCTAATTCCTCAAAAATATCAAAAAAGTAAAGTAAGACTTGMATGTTTTCATATTATTATTATTCTTGTGCTTCTCTTTAGGAGATATGCAGCAAAGAGAAGATCTGATAAGTCAGCAAGCAAGAGCGATTAACTTGCTTCAACTATTGTCAAAATGATTTCGTTKCCGCTTCAAACCTYTCCTTTTAGGATTAGACAGCATTTTGATCATTTTTTCTTCTTTTATGCGATAAGATTAAACATCATTATAAGATAACTTYTATATAACTTTTATATATTGGTAAATGTACATCTATATAATCTATATCAATAGGGCTTGTATCACATGCTTACGATATATACAACGGAAGTAGATTACGATTTGAAAAATATTCTTATTGAGTTCAACAAGAATTCAGCCGAATTCAGCCGAATGGAATCCCTACATACTTATTTAGTTTTATTCCTGCAGGACCCTTAGGCCTCGTTTCTATTCCTTTRTTTTCCATTGTTTTTAATTCACTTCTTAATTTATTATTTACTGAAATGATTTACCATACAAAAAAAGGAGCCATCATTGGCGCATCTTTATTAATTTAAAACCGATAACATCCACTGTAGCCATAGGCAGCCCAACTATTGTTCGAGTGAAAAGAAAAGAATGAGCTGAGTACGCATTTAGTGATATCAACACTCTCGCGCTTTGWAATTTTATTGTGGTATACCTGTGGTATTTGTCTCGCGGTATTAAATTAGGCTGTGACACACTAGCTTGCATCCCGCRRGGCACGGGATCATTGTGTTAAGCTTGCATGCCCTTGTCCCTTAAGGGATTACTATAAATGTATGCATGACAAAAATATRCTTGTATAACCCCGGTCCTTTATGGATAATTGTTTTAATAGAACGTGTTTTTTTTTCAATATTCAAGTCATTGAGTGCTATTCAAACCTGTCTATGGGTTGCCTGTGTCTATATTTTGCGATCAATAGACGAATTAGCCTATAACAAAATGAGCAGGTGCCTGGGACTCAAAATTTTAAAAGTGCTACAATCTTACAGAAATCTGTTGTTGATAGATAAAGCACATATAAATTAGCTAATAAGTTTGAGCAAGTTTAAGTCAAATTTCGAAAATTACAAAGAATGTATGTTTGGCTGGACKYTYTGGCTGGACACTATACATTTCTTTGTAATTTTGGCATGGTTTGAATGTCCATAACTTTATTGCTATAAGTTCAAACATCCTGAAACTTAGTCAGTAAGCCTTTTATAAGGTGCTCTTTCACATGATTGGGTTATTCTTTCAGGAACCATTATTTAATTAGATTTGGAAGTTCGTACCCAGTCCCTTTTTGTTTTGTTATCGGACAATAGTGTTATTCGAAGGTGCACCTGCGCATTGACGTCTTACGTTAAAAAATGATGATTCATTACATGGAMACCTTGACGTCCATGCGAAAGCGTGTTTAATTACAGGACMAAACAATGAATTCTATATTCTCAAATCTTTGTTTTGCTCTCCATATGATGTGGYTTTTACGCACATGCAAGGGGTCTATAGTCTGAGCTTCTGATAAGTCAGTATCACTATTTTGGTGATTCCATAACAGTTAGTAGTAACGGGCACAGAAAACTACCAAAGATGATATTCCTGTTACAGGTCAGTGGTYTAATTATCTTATCCAAGTGTTATTTATTTTGTTTGTTTGTTTGTTTCCTTTCGTTTTCGTTTCGTTTTGTTCGTTTTCTCTAACTAGTGATATGGTGATCACAATATGCTTTTTTGCAACTTTTAACTCTTCTTATTCTACTTCTTCTTTGCTGTATTTATCTTGTCATAAAAATGTAGTGCATTGTCGCTGTTTCATTCCTTGGAATCTTCTGTGGTTTTCTGTTCAGCATTTCCTTTTAGTTTCCGTGCTCTTATTGCTTTCTTTTAAACGAATCCTGTGGCATATCTTGTCTATCTTGTCTTTCTCTGATCATATTCGTGATTTTTCTAAATTTCATCACTCTTTCTACTGCTTTTGTACCTCCTATTTCTTTTTTCATACATGTCTTTTCCCGGCTCTGTATTGTCAAATATCCATTCTCCTCTCTCCTCATTTTCTTTTAATAATTAAAATTATCTTTAATTTCCTCTCGATCCCAATTTAATTTCATGCACTCATTCGTATTTCTCTCCCTCGAATATGTATGTGTTTTTTTTTCTCTCTCTCTCCCTCGTTCTTCAACCCGAGTGCCCGTCCCTTCATCGTACTAAATGGACACGACAGTAAATGTRTTAACATTAACCGAACGTGAAAAAAGATGACTCGAGCAAAAGCTAATCGTTTGCTTTATTTGACAAAAGATTCTGGTGCGTTAAAACCTACCAAACATCAAAGAAAGCACAAGAAAATGTCGTTAATACGATAGATTTGAAAATTAATTTTGCATTCCGAGAGTTGAAAGTAGCCCTGTATTCCCAGTAATCCTTTACTCGACGAATCCGCTCTCTTACTGGATGACTCTGTATTCCCATTAGACCTTAATATTCCTTCTGGGAATAAAGAATTAGCCTCATACTAAAGGAATATGTAAATTGTTAGAGCTATTGAACTTACAAAATTTTCTCGTTCATCCTTTTGTGTTTGGTAAGGTCTTTGCGCAAGAGACTCTGATGTCTTATAAAACAGCGCCAGTCATTCGCTTTGAATTTAAAARTGGAGTATTGCGCTCTTTTCAGACAAACATTTATTTTCTACAGGCATTTTTATTTCTTGGTACGGCAGTTGCAACAACTGCTGTCAGCATACCTATTGGTAAGTATGAGAGTGTACTTTATCATATAACTAAAATATTCCTATATTCCTCACATTTGACTGCAATTTTAACTGTACTTTGAACATTTAAAAAAGGCAAATACAATATGTTTTTTAAAAATTATTATTTAAAAATAATGTTAAATGTGCTTTCATGCATAATTGTATGAYGAACAGAATAGGAATGATTCAAGTTGCTTGGAGATACGGTTTTGATCTATTTACCTATTCTTTTCCTCGTAATTACAATTTTTCCACAAATGGATTTTAGAGTAAACAGTCTTAATCAGGGAAATTGTACTAGACAAAAGTAGTCATCAAACTCATTGCCTTCTTTTGTTCATTATCGACTTACACAAACTAGCTAGAGTTAAAGTGAAGTAAAAAAAAMCGTGAAAAAGTTCTTACACTAATTAGTGCGCTCTAATKCAGATTGCTTTCTTAATGTAGGCTTGAACAATATCTTGAAGAAGAATTCCGTCATTTCTCGAAAGGCACCATGCTGTTGCTCTTGTCAGTCGATCTGTTTTGGCAGCCATTATTAAGACATTGTAATAAATGAATTTAAACGCAAACTGGAACAAGAGAGGAATGATATAAATGCTCTTCTTAGTTCACACAAACAACAATATATAACTTCCAGTTRTTGCAGTGCTGAAGTGTCCAGAAGAAATCACCTTACACACCCATGTTAACGTGCGCACAACAAGTTGAATTCGTGGTGAAACTAGATTTGTAATAAGCTACGCATTCAGCGTCGAGGTTTTYGTCATTTCTGAAATTTAACAAAGACAATGGTCAAAATAAAGTCTCTTTTTAATGACGGGATAATCTAATTAAGCACTCACCATGCTTCCAAATATGGCATTTGTCTAGAATTTRCGTTTCAAAGGGCGAAATGACAAATTTRTTAGCATTATATTGATTGAATAGACACAATGAACACTCAAAAAATATTCTGACATTATTTTAAGTATAGCGACATGCCGTCGCAAATGTCAGCGAAGTCAAGAGAGGTTGCGTGAAATAGACCGTAAACGAAAGACCAATTTCTTTTTTATCGGCACACATTGAATAAGGTCTGTAGAAGCGTGGCGTGTAACATTTAACGTATATATAAGAATTTGATTTCAAAATCGAGTTTTTCTATGGACTCGATGTCCCGATAATTTCGTTGTATTATGAAAAACCTCTAATGAACAACAGAGGGTGCTTCAGAACTATTCATCTTCGTATGAATGTCAACTAGGTATCATGTCAAATATTCAGCTTTTAGAAATGCAAACATATTTTTATTTTTATTTTTACCTAACTTTATTAGACACTGTACCGGGTACAAGGAACTAAGGAAGCCTTGYTGTGAAGCTCTTCTGACATCTTAATTTTCACGTCACAATAAAGCCGAACCGAAARACCYTAAATGGTCTTGTGTTGTAGCGATGCGAAAAAAAACTTGTCTAAACAACATTGCCTATTTTGCATGTTATTAGAGTACCCATCAAATCTGTATGTCCTATWGTCATATCATTTTTAAAGCGCCTATACACCCTGGCAAAATATTGCTTTGATTTAAAGTTTCAGTCCTCAATAATAATTTTTCAGAGTATGAAAGTCACCAAATTAAAATTCTTGATTTTACAGCGGTTGAGATTTCATTATAAGCTTTGTTTTGGCATCCTGTAATAAAAAAGCTTAGAAAAAGCTGAGCTTTCTTTGGGAGGTTTGGTGACGACTATGATGAAGTAGTGTCTGGGACGCATTTTCATGTTTGATCGAGAAGACTATGATGGTTCATGTAAACAGTTGAATATCGGCAAGACATAGTTGTACTCTTGTCTATTGCACACTCTCTGATGTTGGTTTGTTGACACTCCAGTTGTTCCGGATGAATACGTCATCAAAACACTAGTGCCAATCCCCAACATCACTCGGTTTTGTAGCACTTATAATCAACTTTGAGAGCTCATAAAAAATTGGATTTCGTCAAATCTTCACTTTTTCAACAGATACATCATTTAGTATATCTATTTTTATTATATGTTGGATTTGGCTAGGGTGCATAGGCTCTTTAACTTTTTAGTAACTCTTTTCAAAATACAAATTTGGTGATTTCTATATTCCAGGCCACATCATCTATGTAGGAGGAAGTGGAAATGGTCCAAACGATGCTGTTCCAGGTGCGTGGAATCTTAACAGAAAGTGTAAGAAGCTATATATAACATGGCCAGTAGATTTTTCTTGTGCCCAGAGGGATAGATTGATAGACTGTTAATCAGAAAAAAATTAGTCGCAAGAAATTTAGTCGAAATCATCAGGCAGGCCATTGTCGTTCTCAGGAAATGCGCTAACAAAATGATTGCAGACCAAGAAAGTACGGCCACGGCTGCTTCTTTATATCTATTTTAAGTATATTTCCTTTGAGATTCCTTTCATTGTTAAGTAAGGAACAAAGTTTACTTCTTATCCGAGTCTTGTACTCATCAATTTTATTCAATCCAAAGAATTGATTGGATGGTGGATGATTGACCGCATACCGATAGGCTCAGTTGGTTGAGCATCGGAATACAATGCGGGAGGTCATGGGTTCAAACCCTGGCCGGACCAATACTCATGGTCTTAAAATAATTGAGTGGAAGTTGCTGCCTTTGTTTCTCCATCTGCAAATGGTAAGATCTTCACGTCCTCTCGAATAACGACGTTAAATCGGAGGTTCCGTCTCTCTACACTTCTCATTAGCAGCAGAGGGACGTTAAAGAACCCACACCACTATTCGACTAAGAGTAGGGCACGGAGTTCCCGGTGGTGTGGCCAGCATTGAGGTCGGTTTGACTTAGTGTTCGTATAAAGGTTACTAGTCAATGAGACCTCATAGTAATACAGCTAGTAACCCAATGAACGTTGCCAAGTGCTGGAACTATGTAGATGTAGAAGAAGAATTAAATGTTTTTCTTCAAAAAAGAAATTCTCTGGCGTGTTATTTTTCACCTTGTTTGAACTCGCTATTTCACCCGGAGACTTGTGACCGATTGTTCTATTCCAACATCACGCGCTCTTATTCAGCGATAGGGAGCTATTGAAACACTCTTATAATGCTTAAAGATAGTAAATTATATTATAATTATAAGAACTCAAAAACTTTTTTAAAAGAAAGAAAAAATATGATTTTTCTTAATTTTGCTTATTCAAGGATCGAGTGAATGCATTCAAGGCACGTCATGGAGTCTTGCCTACAGCGATGCTATCCAAGACCATGCTATTGTTGGTCCTCTCWTAAAGTCCATTACGGCTTTAACCGACAACGACTGCAAAGATGCTTGCTTCATGCACGTCCCTGATGTRTGCTACATGTTCAACTATCATCCACAGACCAAGAAATGTGAACTCTTCTACAAAGATCGTGCATCAGAAWATAAAGTAGAAATGAAGAGTGGGTACTTGTTCAAAACCCAAAAGGTAGGATGCGAATCGCCATGCGGTTATAATGTTTCTTTGTTTATCCGTCTCATCTCTCAAAAACGAGCTAGGGATCAATCTTAATTCCCTTCTTGTTATCAATCCCTCTAGCTCTACGCTGATCTTCCTAATTTTCATCATTGCCAGAAATTTGGGTCATTGACCAGCGGTTTTCTTCGGCTCACATATTGACGATTTTATACGTTAAATACAAAAGATTTGATCAAAACATTTCATTTTCGTTGTACAATTGCGTTATTATTGCGATTTATATTTCAGAATAGCAGAATTAGAAAGTTCCTTTCTATAAATGGACCCATAATGTCGAGAAACACAAAATTCGCCTAATTTTT